CGCCGGGTTTGTAGCGCAGTGTGCTAACCGCTACACCACACCGCACCCCACACACATACACATGTCCATGCGAGCGCGCACACACGCAAACACTAACTCCCAGCGCAAAGCCCACTCATTACACCTCGACGAGGATCGCTCCGCTGAACAAAATAGCTCTGCGGTTCAGTTTGCAATTGCGAGTTCGCGTTTTAAGTCAATGTATTTTTTATATATATTTCATGAAAGCTGGTATGGAATTACGGGGCATTTGTAAGTTGAGCGATCGTAAGGCGAGGACTGCCTCTATATGACTATTTTACCATCGATAAATGACCGTTTTCCATTGATAAATTGTATTTAACCTCACATCGTACTCATAATACACTGTGCATTTAACAACGACACGAGTGTGTTTTGTTTAAGTTTTACAAATGTAGCCTAATCATTGTAAATCTAAATCGAATATAACAAGAATATATATACCGTTCTTCCACGCTTCCAAGAAACTTAACACAAACTTCAGAAGATTCCCCATGCATGATTGCTTCTCCCTCGTCAATTACTATATTCTGAGAGACACTAGATGCAAGGCACTGGCATATTTAAGATGCTATGAAAGTCACAATGTAATGCTAACAAAAACTGGAAAATCAGGTTATTTGAGAATGCACGCACACATTATGTCACAGCGGTCAAGGTAGAACATGTTGACACATGATTACAAGGAAAAATGCATTGTGAAGGTAAGACTGGAGGGGAAAAACAAAAATGGCATTGTACATTAAAAGCATGGCAAATGTCATGAACCAGGAACGAGACGACACCCACACATTCATCTATCCATTCCTTACTCCTTTTGCAAATGATGACAAAATAGAAAAGTAGTGTGCATGTGAGTGGTTGCATCCATTTGTATCATCTTAACAAAAACAACATTGAACAAAAGAAGGACTGATCTTTGGCAATTTTTTAAATCGCGGGTTCAGAAAAATTTGAAAATAAATACCCATGATTGCCTTTCCCTCGTCATCCTAAATCTCCACACAATATCTATATCATTGGTTCTGTCGGTAAAGTAACGTAGAAAGAAAATAAATTAAATAATAGAATACGACGTTTTTTATTGCAACACAAGCAATCGTCATCAGGTAAGAATGAATATTACTAAGTTTGTTTTCTCAAACTTTTTATTTCTCTCTCTAAATTTGCCAGGCTTGTTTGTCTATAGGTCCATTTTCTCTCTCATTTACATGCTAATTTCTCTACCCCCCCCCCTCTCTCTGCCCCCCCCCTCTCTATTTAAGGCCTCGACACAGGCGTTGTTTCTCTGTGTCTATTTGTGTCCCTCTCTCTCTCTCTGTGTCTCTGTGTGTCTCTCTCTGCTTGTGTGTGTCTATGTGTCTCCATGTCTGTGTTTTGTCTCTCTCTCAAATTTATCAATCTTTGGAAGAACGTAATCAACCAGGTAGGGTGTTGACTGTTGTGTTAGCTGACTCTCTGTGTTGCATTGCATTATATTTCTAAGTTTACTAGGTTTGTTTTCTCATTCATTGTTACCTGATGACGATTGCTTGCTTTGCAATCCAAACGTCATATTCTATTATTTAATTTATTTTCTTTCTACGTGACTTTACCGAAAGAACCAAAGAGTAATTCCTGCAGTCACGAAAGCTTTAAATCAAGTTTGAATATCTATATCGACTCTGACTTTGAGGTTTGGCTGCCTTGCTTTTTTCTATTATGGTAGGATGCTTGCCAAGAAGGAAAAGCTCACATAAATGTAGATTTGAGGCAAAAAAACATCAGAAATGTTTGGCGTTATCAGCACGTCGAGACCAGTATATAGTTTGACTGCTTACACATACCGCTTGATGATTAATGTTGACCTGGAAAATAAACGGTCGATGGCCTAAAATATGTTTTATTTATGATAGAATGGAGTTTTGCTTATATGTCCTTTTTCCCATGATGTTCCACAGAAATGCGTAATAAGTTCGTGTATGATTTCACTTTAAATGCATTGAGAGCCTTATTATAATCTGGAAAATAACATGTCAGGCATCTGACATGTTATTTTACAATGATTACAATGATTAACAACCTAAAGCGCATAAGCTCAAAATATGTAGTTCATGTCCACACACACATTGTGTCTCTCGCACACAAGCATGCACGCATTCGTTATGAGCAAGTTACTGGGTGGAGTCTGGGAAGCTCCACCTTTTTGTGAATCTGATTATAAAGCCGGCTTGAATCCAAAGAGCAGAAGAGACAGAGCGAATGACATGCGCCCTACGGCCTGGACAGTGTGAGTATTAGACAATAGGCTGAAACTATTGAACTTAGTTGCAGGTAAATGGTATGTACAGTATACATGCATATGTTATACGGTATATTGTATAGACTCTGTGTGGTTAATATAGGATGGCTATTGTAAATACGATTATATGTTAACAGGCTATGTTTAAAAAATAATACCATATTAAACTGCATGTTAATGTCTAATGAGTTAGCGATGTTAAATATGTTGAAAAAATATATTTTCACTAACCTTGAGCCCTGATACTAGCTTGCAGTCGGTAGTGGGGCAATGAGTCACCACAATTACACGCAACCACACTATACAATCCCCACTGCAAGCAAACCTACTAGAATAGTAAAATATTCAAAGTTATTACAGCCAAATTTTGAGTTAAAGCTTTCGTGACTGCAGGGATTTATATTCTTGGTTCTTTCGGTAAAGTCACGTAGAAGGGAAACAATAAAATAATAATAATTTTTTTTATATAAAGTCACGTAGAAGGGAAACAATAAAATAATAAAAACATTTGTTTTATATTTTCATTATTTTATTGTTTCCCTTCTACGTGACTTTACCGAAAGAACCAAGAATTATTACAGCCAAGGCAACAAAGTAGTGTCGAAATATGTTTTGAAATGTATGTCAGACATGAATATTGTCTCAATACTCGCACTTACACTAGACTTAATGTTGGTTTATAATACATTAGCCCTGTAGAACTGTCTGCGACACCCTTCGATTATCAAACGCACTATATATTAATATACCAATCACAGTGCATATTACCTTCAATGACATTGTGCAGAGATATGGTCATTAACGAAAAATCTTGAATAAAAACGCAGGGGTATACAAATAAGCATGGAGACATGTATGCTTGCAATTATATTGAACACATGGATAATATAACGTATACAGGTTAAATATATAATTCAAACTTTCGAAAAGAAGTGGGATTGGATGCAGTAAATGTAACTTTCATGAATAATGGTCGATGGTCAACAATAACGGAGTGGCCGCTAAGGAAAGAAATGCGTCCGATATACCACCTACTGGGGAAATAGAGCAAATAAATCAGCTGCATTGCAAAATCGTGAAAGTAACGTGGGTTTTGTGAGGTATCCTCCCAGTATTGATGATGACTAAATTAAATGATTACTTGTAAAAACATAGGAACCGAAATATGAAATAAACACCAATAAACTTTTTTAACCATAATCAGCCACGGTTAATCTACTGTTGGATGAAGGCCTCCCTAAGCTGTCACCACCAAGCATTTGCACATGCGCCGATTTCATTGCTGCATCTCTACAGTCGAAGACAACGCAGATGTGTTCTATTGCTTGGCTGTTACTCCGTTATTATTATTGACCATCATTCATCATTCCTTATTGTGATGTGTCCTGCTCAAGCTCACTTACTTTTCTTACTATATATATTTTTTATCATGAATGTTCCCTAATCCGTATGCTCCTCTTTTTATCTCTCAATGCAAGTCTAAGCATTCGTATGTCCATGCTTTTTTGCACACTTTTTAAATATTTCGTTACAGTTTTTTACGTGTTAATGTGAAACATTTATACCATGATCAGGCAACGAAAACACCAAAATATATATTAAAAGGGGTGTTATATAAATGTGACACGCTTTCTCCAAAGTTTTTAAAAACGACGTTAGAATGTAATTTATGAGGAATGGATTTCAGGGCAAAATAAATAAATAATTAGTAACCTAAGATGAATTATTATCATTGTTATGATTTCAACCAAGAGTAATTAATTATAGGAAACGATTTAAAAAACAAATAAACAATGACGCCATGCTGAGCTTAAGATAAACTCTTATCAAAATACCATTAAGGTACAACAAGTTGTCTGAACTACAGAAAGTAATTCAAGAACCCAACAGGAAAAAAAGTAGCGTATTGTAGAGTATACTTATGGAAGTTTTTGAAGTAGACAGTGTTCAAACGTACGCATTATAAGAGCGAGTGCTTTTGAAAAACTTAACTTGATAATGAAAAGCAACATATCGATGTGCCAAAACAAAGACGTCTTTAATCAGTGCAATGTACTGTACTTGCTCTGACATGAGTCAGAAATATAGTCACTGACACAAATGGATCAAATAATAAAAAAGCACTAAAATGTATGCAAGGGAGCATAGAGAGGTGTGTATGAATTGCACATACCAGGGATGTGTTGACTAAGGTTGTCGCTAGTCAGTACAGGTTTCTCTCATTTTATGTGGGTTCGGTTTGTGTAATATAACGTACTAGCGGGAAGTACCTGGTGTTGCCGGGGTCTTAACAATTTTTCAAAACTACTCTTAAAAATCTAACAGCAGTGCGTACTGACTGTGGTGGTACCTGCTATGATTATAGCAATGCATACTGTGGGGGTACCTGCTTTCACTGCAGTAGTGCATACTGTGGTGGTACCTGTTATGATTACAGCAGTGCATACCGACTGTGGTGGTACCTGCTATCATTACAGTAGTGCATGCTGATTCTATCGCAGTATTTATAGACTCTATAGCACAAAGTACTCACTTGACAGAGTGGCGTGGTGAGGCCTAGTCCCGTGGTGAGGCCTAGTCCCGTGCAGAGCCTCCGGCCTCGCCTAGATTGTCCAGCCGGCCGAGGTGGCACCTTGACAGGCTGGGCTGCTACCCCTAACCCCCCCCTCCCCCCCCCCCCCAGGCACGATCACCCGGCCGCTCTGCAGTAATATCTACGGCCTATAGTGGTAGCATCTACTGACTATATAGTAGTAATAACTGCACGCATCGGGGTGGGGGGGGACACCACACAGTGAATAATTAACGTCAGCATTTAGTGTATTTTTATAGCATTTTTAACGCCAAGGCAAATGTCCCCCTCACTCCCACCGAAGGCGTGCAACTTGGCATGGGCCGTCCCCCCCACCAAAGGCGCATGAGTTGGTATGGTCGTGCATGCGTCATAAATAAATAAATGGGGATCGCACACAAATCTCAATAAATCGCTAATTAAACACATTTTAAGTTGACGAATGTGAAAAAGGAATAGCGCTTGCTCACGGCGGGGCTTACGGCGTGGTACCTGGCTATTTTTATTTTATGTAAACCCCACCGTTGGAGAGCGAAATCGTTCGCAAGCCCGTGAACACACACAAAGCCACACACAAACCCACAAACAGACAATTTTTGACTTTTATATATATAGATATTCGAGGAATGTATTTTTCTCAATAATTCACTATACGAGATTTTAATTCACTCATATGCGGTTGGACGTGGAACAACATTGTTTATGTGTACTCTATAATCTACCTGGTAGGTAGCTGTCCTGTGTGGTTCATTTGTGCACCCTTTTTCCTGGAACTTATCTGCTACCACGAAGTGAGGGAACCCTGTATGTGCTGCATGTTAGGCTCCCCCCTTTCCAATGAATTTGCGGGAGCAGACACAATACTTCTCAGAATAGAGTCAAGAGGGGAACTCAGCACGTGAGTTATATTTGTTCTAGCGCAGATGAGCTAAAATAAATCACAATTGACCTTAGTTAAATCAAAATCTATTTCAGAATATTATTATAATTGTTGATTTACTCTATAACAGTGTTGTATCAGCTTTTGAATTGCTGATATCGTTGAAGTTAATGTAATCCAAAGTAAATAAATCTAGGGTTCATAGCGTTCTCTTGTAACTTCTCTCCTAACCTCTATTTAGTTACACACTTACAAAATTCCATTCGTTCGTTTCTCAATCCACTGGTCCTGGTGACGGTTGCGGCGGCAGCATATTTAGTCGGGTTTTCCAGACCTCCCTTTTCCTGGTGACAAACTCTAGCTTTTCCTGGAGAATTCCCAGGCATTCCCAGGCCAGTTGAGTGACATAGTCCCGCCAGCATGTCCTGGGCCAGCCCCGGGGTCTTCGCCCAATGGGACGTGCTCAGTAGAGTTCCAGGGGGGCATCTTACCAGGTGCCCGAACCACCTCAACTGGCTCCTCTCGATCCAGAGGAGCTGCGGCTCGATGCCTGCCGTTCTCCCTTCCCACTTACCTACACTAATGAAAGAGACCCCGAGGTACATAAACTCCTCCACCAAGGGCAGCTGTTCACCTGGAGAGCACAATCCACCATCTCCCATATCAAGATTTAATCTCCCGGGAGTGAACCATGACCTCATATTTGGAGATGCTGATCCTCATCACAGCCGCTTCACAGACTGACGAGGCAAAGAGGACAACGTCATCTGAAAAAGCAGCAACGCCACCTCCATGCACTGGATACTCTCCATACCTCGGCTGCGCCTTGATATCCTGTCCATGAAAATAACAAACAGGAGCAAAGGCAAGACGTACCCTTTGTGGAGTCCAACAGCCACAGTTAACGACTTTGATTAAATACCAAGAATACGGATATAGCTCTCACTCCAGGAATAGAGGGACCAGATAGGACACAAAAGCAGTGCCAGTATATCATACTCCCGAAAATTATTTCTTAAAGCCTACAAAGTATACGTAGACTGGAGAAGCATACTCCCATGACCCCTCAAATATCTGTGAGAGGGAAAAGAGATGGTTCATTGTTCCACGACTATGAATCTGAGGCTCGACCACTGAGCGGAGGTTCCTCTCTAGCACTCTGGCATAGGCATTACCTGGGATGTGGAGGAGTGTGACACCTCTGAAGTTAGAGCACACCCTCTGGTCCCCTTTCTTAAAAAGGTGAACCACAACCCCAGTTTGCCAATTCAGAGGTACTGTACCTGCCTTCCATGAAACACGTTAACCACGACACTCCTATACTGTCCAGCGCGTTCAATAACTCTGTTTCTATGAAGGCCCTCGACTGCCGCAGCGACTTCATCAGCCGTGATGGATCCGACCCCCCCAGCTGTTTCCAGGGCTGCCTCCTGAGAGGAGGGCATGTCCACCGGGTTGAGGAGCTTCTCAAGGTGTTCCTTCCGCCTCTCGTCTATCTCCTTAGTTGAGTTCAATGTTACGTCACCCTTACTGAGAACAACCTGGGCCACGTTTTGTCGACCCCTCCTAAGGCGTCGTATTGTTTACCAGAACATCATTGAGGCTTCCGGGTAGTCCCTCTTCATGGCCTCTCCAAACTCCTCCCACACCTGGGCTTTCGCTTCAGCGACTGCGACCACTGCCGCCCTCTTAGGAATCCACAATTGAGGTCCTGAACATCGTCCACTCGGACTCAATGTCCATGTCTTCCCCTGGAGTGCAGGAGAAGTTTTCCCGGAGGTGGAAGTTGAAATCTTTCTGCACTGGGTCTTCTGCCAGACGTTCCCAGAAAACGCACACTTCATTTGGGCCTTCCACATCTATCTGGTCGATGCCCCAGGTCCGCTGATATAAGTATAAAGTAAATTATTGACCTTCGGCCCAAGGAGCTCTGGTACCAAGTGCACTATGAACATCCTTGATTTAGAACGTGGGGTTAGTTATTGACTTTCCGTGACTAGCACATCATTTTTATAAATTTCATCGTTCGGGTTCAGATCAGAGGGGGCATTCCTCTCAATCACGCCACTCCAGGTATCTCCATCGTATCCCATGTGAGCACTGAAGTCGCCCAGTCAGACTGTGGAGTCGGTAGGTGGCACTCTGTCGAGCACTGCACCCATCATCTCTAAGAATGAAGAATACTCTGAACTCCTGTTTGGTGCACAAGCACAGACAACAGTCAGAGTTTTCCTTTCTGAGACCCGAAGTCTCATTGAGGCGACCCTCTAATCCACTGGGACAAACTCCAACTGAACAGCACCCAGCCGGGGGCTTGTAAGCCCACACCCGCCCGGAGCCTCTCACCAGGGGTTACTCCAAAATATAAGTTTCGGGAAGTTTGGTTCCGGTGCCACTGCTGTGTGTGGAGGAGAGACCAACTATATCTATTCAATACCTCTACACCTCCTCCACCAGATCCGGCTCCTTCCCCCCCAATGTGAGAATGGATGTTGTTATTGTGGCGAGTTATGTGGAATTTAGGTTATTCATGGTTATTGGAATAATGATACTTATTGTTGTTGAGTCATATCGCCTCCATCTAGCGCGGTTTGATAAGTACGGTGTGAAAGAAGTTCAACATACATACAGGACATAGGGTACGCTGACTAAAGAGCAGAGTTGAACAGCTGGTTCTGAAGGCCGAGTCCTTACTTTGGTTATTGACATTGCATTATTTTGTTTGGTGCATGAGTAAAAGCATCACCGTTTTTCTGCATGTGGCACGGTGAAAATAAGCAGAACACAATTTAGAATAACAATATTTTAAGCTCTGAAGTTTATTAATAGACCCTATAGTTTCGGTGAGATCACGGCGAGGGAGCGAGACAGAGGATATTTCTTCGTGTAAAATATTTTCTAATTGTTCTTCTCCTTTCATATGACTGATGTAGATGCAGAGCAACAACGACAATTTCACATTCAGGTGGTGCAGCTAGGTAACCGCGTCAGAAACAGTGGAGTGTATCGCTGTAATGTCTCCTTCAAATTTGTGGGTGGGTTATTGCTTCGTTATATGTTGTATGGTCTGTTCTGGATGACCGCAATAGTACGCTGGATAATTTTAAATGTTCCATTTGTGCATCAGGTATCCGCATCTGCCATGGTTTGTGCGAATGCGAATTAGCAAGGACCATGAGCTTGGTGGAAGCTCAAACCTAGGGATCTTCTGCATTAGGTCTTCCACAAAGTGTTTGTTAGGGTTAGTGAGTTTTTTTTTAACTATTCAGCTCTACAAGCTTAATCAGGGTTGAATTAGCATTGTTTAAGGTTAAGCGTATGGGTCCATAAGAGCTGGCGTGACATCAAGTGATGATGAGGAGTGTTTTTGAGGTCCTGGTGAATGGTAAGGTGACTGTTTTCCTCTTTTGCAGGACTTCCCTGAGGTTTGCAGTGTTGTGGTGGATAGGTGGGGGAGAGATGTGTGACAGCCCGTCCAACTAGGATATGGGGGTCGACTTACGGGTTCCAGTGATACACCACATTTCAGTGTTTAGTTAGACATTGACATGTCGAATGTGATTACTTCTGGTCCATACCACTATACAATATTCTACTACAGAGTACACAGAGGCCTTCGTTGATGTCTGTAGCACTGGAGCTGATGCTCCCCAGCTTGTGCGTGCCAGTTTCTGGACCAGGTTTATCATTGTTATTGGTCTTAGCAACTACTTTTTTCAGGTGGTCAAGGAATGTTAGCGTAAGGATCAGCTTCAATCCAAGATAGGTTGGAGTGGGGTCGTGTCGCACAGTGTTGCCACAGAAGGTCACTTTGAGAGTGGGCTTGGTGCTCCTATTATCAATATGAAATGAGCCTCTATTTCTGGAAATATTTTTCCATGGTGATTAGGTCTTTGTTCTGAGTAGATTTGAGCTTTTTGAAAGTGACTGCTTGAGTTTCGTGACTTGGTTGGCAGCATGTCACTGGTGTAGACATTGAAGACCTTTGGCGCGACTAGTTAATCTTGTGGTAATCAATTTGTAAGGAACCAGGATGAGATTACTTTGTCACCCATATAGACACGCAGTGAGCTATTAATCAGCATCATCCATATTAGGAGGATTGTTTGAGGCAAGGAATGGTCCTTGTGAGCTTCAACATCAAGTCCTTAGTCTCGATTGTGTCGTAGGCCGATGCAAAGTCCACAAATCTCGCTTGTTCTTCAGGCATCACTGATTCAACGAGGGGTCTCATCCTCCGGAGGATGATGCGTTCCAGAAATGTATGGGTCGTGCACAGGAGTAATATTAGCCTATAGCTTGAAGGGTCATCGGTTGGCCTTGCCCGGTTTCGGTATTGCAGTGACCATTGCCTCCTACCATGCTTGTGGGATGTGTTCAGTTTTATTGGATCTGGTGTACAGGTTTTGCAGGCCATTGGAGTCCTCTAGGGCCTAAGTGATAGAGGAATTCGGGTGGGGGGGGGGAGTACCATCTCTGCCAGCAGCCTTGCCTTTCTTTATTTCAGCCAAACGCCCCGCTCACTTCCTCTGTGCTGATGGTAGTGGAGTCTTGTGAAGAAATGTAGGCCATTGTCGAGTGTAATTGGCGAGGAATCTCTCGCTTGGTGTTTTTTCTGAGCAGTATTTTTTGTTCTCCGCTAATTTAGAGACTATAGAGTTGGGCAGGACTCCTGCAGTCTGTTATTTTGTTGGGTTAGCAGTACCCAGATGTCGTAGTAGGGCCCAGGCACGGTGGCTGGAGCATTTGAAATCCAGGCTTTCAACGCACTCAATCCACCGCTAACGTTTGGCTGAGTTTAAAGACTCTAGCAGGGCCGTTTGTACCTGTGGGCTGCCCTTTCCACCCTGTGGACTAGTTGTACTGTCAGAACAGGTCCTGGGTCTCTTTTATCCAGCAGGGAGTGTATTCTTTTCAGAAGCCACGGAGGATGCTTTTCTTGGCAGCTGCAGTAAGGAGGCCAACATAACAGTGATAACATTCTAGTGTCACGGGAATTCGACTCACCACTCTTTCTACAGCCTCCATATAGTGGTCCCAGTCAGTGTTGACCATGTTCCCCCTTGGTAATCGTTTTGACAGAATTTCGGGGATTTTGATGCCAATGTGGGTGATTATGAGTCTGTGTTGACTTTTTGGGTTGCTTGGGAGTTTTTTATGGGATGTGTGAAGTGTGTTTCCAGTTTGATATTTGGAAATTTCTGGTGGGGTCCAGGCTATAGTGGTATTGCCAATGAGCAGAATGGAAATTTGCTTGCTGCTTGGGATCGAAAACCAGGTGCAGATCTCCTTCAGATATCTGGTCGGTGAGGTCTTCACCGTCAGCCTCATCCGCTACATAGCCCTACATCGTATTTTAGCTGTTAATGTCACCAACGTATAGGGCTGCGATTGGTACACTTGGGAGAGCTAGCTTTGTCCATTTTGAATTAGGGGCTGTGTACACGTTGGTGATTTTCAGCTCCCCTATTTTGATGCTGGTGCTGTAGATGGCTTTTTGTTCAGTTGGCGAGAAGGCATAGAACTCTGTGATGGTGTTATTCACATATATGGCCAAGCCATATTTCGTGTGGTAATGGCTTGTCGTGAGGTTGTATCTATGGATGATGTAGTGTCTGGCATGTAGGTTATCTAAGACATGGGTTTCTTGGAGCCTCAGGACATCAATTTATTGGGTTTTCATTATGATCGCGAGATACAGTCTGTTTCTCCTATAACACTTTTTTTCATAATGCGAATTGGATGTAATGCGATTGAGTGAACAAAACTAGGTGACACAAATAGGAATAAGTATGGCTGCCTCGGCATAGCATCACATAAGGTGGGGTGTTCCTGGATGTTTCCAGAAGCTACCCACGTGCCTCCATCTTTGTTTAGCCTGCATAAGCATTATCTCACATGTTATCAATGACTGTGCTTTTCCCTAAATTATATATTATTTATTATAACACAATTTTGTCATAAGAATGCAACTATCGCGTTTTAGAATAAAAGACTACTCTCACATCACCGAGGAGAGTCAGTCAATATTCAGTTGGAGGATCCTTGTCCCAGGGCCTATCTGGTGCTTTGTTTGGCCCTTAAGAGGGCCATTGGCATGGCTTTTGTTTTCTTAGCTCTTTCGGTAAAGTCACGTTGAAGGGAAACAATAAAATAATAAAATATATATAAAACAATAAAAATTCTCACGACGTTTCGACCATAACACAAACGTGACTTTACCGAAAGAGCTAAGAATATGAATTACTGCAGTCATGAAAGCTTTAAATCAAAAAATGGCTTTTGTTGTTGCTTTAGAGACCAGCAGATCGATGATCGATGCTTGGTCACTGCATTAATGATATTCGTCGTGATTTCTCAACTAACGGAGTGTGCCACATGAAGGCTGCAATCTTCCTCTCAATTGATATATTCGTGGTACTTTCTTTTTGCAATCTCAGAACAGTTATTCAACTTTATAAACTATTTCATAATGTATACATATACATGGGGCTTATATTAAACGACTACATCAGTTGCAACTGAACAAATGTCTCCAGTAGCTTGTGGTATTATACATTTAATATTCATTTATGTTTTCTAGAATCCAATAGATTGTATGTGGCCATTGATAGAAACGCGTATCTAACACCATCTTGCTCTCATGATCGGCTTGGCTTCTAAATTGACCCTCATTTGGAGGCAGCTGTGTGCTGCGATTGCTTCCTTTGTCTCCATTGTCCACCTCAATAATGCTCCGTCTGCCTTGTTCTCAACGTTCTCTCCCTCCTCAGTTTTTTCCATTTCCTCAAGAATTGTTCATCAACTCTGCATAGATGTTTATATTAACGTATACTTAGATGCTGTATACATGTATATGTTGTTGTAATAACCCTTAGATGAAGCTCTGTGAGTCAGTAAACCCTTGCATAGTTCACAATTATCTGAAATGAAGTTGCTTTGTGGAGAATGGTGAAAGTTATTCATCGTCTGTCTGGTTTGTTTATGTTTTCAAGCTGGACATAATGCAACTCCACCTCACTCTCACACTTCTCCGTCTGTAAAGAGGGACAGGAAGAAGGTTCCAGCAGCCCTTGTGCTCTGAACACGTGAGAGGTGAGTCCATGAGATAGTCAACTCCTGGCACTTGCATCGTGTAGATTTATAATTCTACTGGCATCACGATTGGAATTTCTCTTTAGTGTAAATGGCATGTTTATTCATACAATTTTAGGAAACACAATTGAAAAGTGTAATAAATATTCACGAATTGATCTTTATTTTGGATGTAAAGCATTCTATGCATATCGAAATTGCTATGCACAGTTTTAAAGTGGACTAGGCTTTGGAAAAAAATACTGTTCTTATCTTATATTTACGTAGAGCTTTAATCCCAGACGCTTTACAAGGGTTATGAGTGGTACAATTAGGGGAACTAAAAGTGGTATGCTGCATAGGGATGGGGTATAGGGAAGGTAGTTAGCGAGTACCGGAATTACGGAGTGCCTAGGGCTTAATACAGAATTAGGGAGCCTGCAGTAAAACATGTTTACAAACGATACTGTGGATATGATTATCTTACAAGCAGACCTACGCCTTTTTTCATTCAAAGAATAGTATGCCATTTTGTGCTAGCACGCGGATCGCATGTTACAGAATAAATGGTTAAACCCTCGGTGCTGCCACCAACACCCTAAACATCGCCTCACCACCTGCATGAGGCAACGCCTAAAGGACCATGCTCTCATTTCCAACACCACAAGTGACGGCACATCGATAATAATCGTCATTGTTAGTCATGTGATAGTAATCAATGTATACAAGCTGCCGAAAAGGAATTGCCATCATCACCTCAGCAGCCACTGTCATGGATAATGTACACCATCATATAGAGGTAATGTAATGTACAATACATTATCCCTATGTGATCGACTGACCCCAATGTAAGTGTATATTTTAGATTGGAGCAGTGCCTAAGGCCATCCTACTGTAGCACTGGAGCACACAGTATATGCATGTGTGGCCTCGCTCTAGCCAAAGTTAATCTGGCACCAATAACGTTAACTTCCAGATCATGATCAAAGTTCTTGATGCCACCACACCTTAATACCAACGTTTTTAACCTTTGCCAGATCCTGCAATTACAGAGTAGTCACACGATCTCTAAGATCTGCTCTCATCGTTTCGCACCATCTGTCAACTCCAAGCTTCACACCACTTTTTCCGTACATGACCTTGGCCCCACGCCAGCACACCCCTTCCTACTTTCTCTAGTGGGCCAGTGAAGCTTTGGCTAAAGACCGACTTTTACCAACATTTGCATTGGGAAATGACGTGCAGGCTAAAACTTTGTCAAATTTTAAGTTGATATTGGGAGGAAATAAGTTGCACACCACAGGGAATGAAAACCGGGTATGGGGCTGGAGCACAGGAGCTGAGCAGGTTTGATCCATTAGCTATGGTGCCATGGCTGAAGTGCTGCTTGTTATAGCACGACAAGTTCAAACATTACCCATTAGTGTCATGAGAAAATCGGGGCCCGTTGAAGGAATGCATTTGGTGCTGTGATATTCTATATGTTAACATGCAATCACTTAATCAAGTGTTTAAACATTGAAAATGTATACTTATCTCATTTTTAGGATTAAAAACGTAGACAAGCATGGTAGGTATTTGAAAATGCTTCATTTTGAATGTATCACATGTTTTACATTAAAATAGGTGATAAACTTTGGTTATTCATCTGAACATTTCTTACTCTCATTTGATAAAAACAACATTCAATGTTCAACTAATTTACTAAATCTATTTGTATTATTGTTAAATATTATGTTATTAATTAAGAACGGTATATGTGTGTATTCAGGGCTATGTCGGAAGAGGAGGAACACGACATTAAAGCTCAGGATGAGCTTGCCAAAGTAATGACAGACTTAGGTCTTAATACAAATTACTGGATTCCAAAACTGCGAGATATTTTACATATCACCAATGTACAGGCATTGCAATATTTTGGCCCTGAAGAATTTGAAACAATAGAACCACATTCCCGGCTTCCATGGGAGAAAAAGGCATTGTCTAAGTTAGTGGAAATGTCGGGCAAAGAAGTTGTATTAAAGCAATCACAAAAATGTGATCCAATTGGAAATGAACAGAAGCATGATACACCAACAAAGCAGCATCCAGAACAAATGCAGCAGAAAAGATCAACTCACATTGGTGAGGCCAAAATGGAGGATGAGACAGAGCAGCGACTGGAATTGAAAGGAGCAAAAGAAAATCCATTGTGTGACAAGAGCCATTCCAATGATATGGAAAGTACTTTTCTCAAGCAGTTAGATTTAGCAAACATTTCTACTTTACATGGAACTGTATCACGTCAAATTTGTTTACAAAATGCATCTAAAGGACTTGCTTTAGAGGGGGTTTATAAAACTGGTCAAATAAATGCTAGGTTACAGAAAAGAGGCAAACTCGTAAACATCCCAATGTCGTTTGATCTTGCTGGCCCAGTACATCAGCCAATGATAAAACAACAGGAGTTTTCATCCTCTGAAGAGGAATCAATATTTGATACAGCAGTGGAAAAAATTGGATTCAATACCATAACCACAGGTTTCCTACAGGCATTGAAGGAAGAAACCACCTCACAGCATAGCAAGGCATTATACACTGAAGAAAAGCAACGCGAAAATCCCAATTCTTCCCGAATTCATTGCGCCAAATACCTGTACCTACCACTCGCCTCAGGAAGTTTTGACTTTGATAAACTCAAGCTCTCTGATGAGGCGTTGGAGGAATTACAAAGCATTGAAAGCACTTTAAAATCCGTCAACGATGCTTTTAAAACACGTGTGCTAAAAAGCAGGTTAGGGAGTTTTTTTGAGAACTTTGGCTCTCATGTCCACACAGGCCCTATCCACTTTGGTGGGATATTTAAGTGGAAAGCATCAACAGAGGACATCACCTCAAATCAGAAAAATGAACAAAGAAATATACTATTGGAGGCAGTGGAAAGGTATTCCACTTCTGCCTACAACAGCAGTGGCTGTGCAGGTGGCGTGAGCATGATGGCATCCAACTTTATAACGGAATTTTCTGAAAAATACAACGCTACACTTCTGAGTAAGGTGACATTTTCCGTAGGTACAATAGGTGGGCCCCCTGGCATTTGTTCTCTTGAACAATGGAAAACTGACATTGTTTCCAATGCAAAAATGTGGTCTGTCATTGACCGAGGCACATCATTGGTTCCAGTGTGGGACATTGTCACGTTTAACCACGAAAATGATTTTGAAAATACTTTGATAGCTAACAGCCTCAAGGAGGCATATACGCTTTTGACGAACCCAATTCCCAATTGTCGTGTTGAGGTCTCTGCTAAAGCTGAAGCCCAGTCAGTAATGCAAGATATTAAACATTGGCAAGAATCTGACGTGGAATACAATTTACAAAAGATAATTGATTTGAAACAGAAGTTACATGATGAAACAAAAAACAATTTGATTTGGGTAAACACCTGTTTGTCTCACCCAGCTCTCCAGTCATTTTTGTCAAATTTTATTACAGCACCTGCCAATACGGTAAAAATAAAAAAGCTTATGCGCTCTATTATGGAGCCAAAGTGTTGTGAGGTTGACAGTTTTCCACAACTCGCCTCCGTTATGCAGTGGCTTAATGAGTCTGAAGGAGTCTCTGCTCAGGTATCTGACTTTAAAGATCTCGTGAACATCTTAACAAAAGCAAAAGAAAATTTAAAAGAAGTTGAGTTTTCAACAAAGTATTCAGAAATAATTGAAAAAAGAAACAAAGAAATCACGAATTCATTTAATTCATTCTGTCAATCACTGAGAACATCAGAACTTATCGAACAAGAACTACTCATAATTTCAGTTGCTTCTGGTGTCGGATATTGTGTAAAAGAAAAAAGATTTCAGCGTCCCCTGCATTATGACAACATTGCCCATCTTCAACTTACACTTGAGTCAGCTTGCGGAGAGTCCTCAAGTACATGCTGAGAGTACACGCTCTGGTTTGTGCATTGTCTTCATACTGTTCGCTTTTTGACATTCTATTGTCTGACACTGGTGGGAGTAGGCCATAAAGAAGGCTGTGTGGTGTAGGCCAATCAGTTTCAAAGACAATGAATATGTTATCAGAGCATGTTTGTTTGCATGTTCACCACAAGTTCTGTATGTGTGTTTAATGCAGACTTGATGTCTTGCGAAAGGTATATATTTTGTGTGTTAACATTTTAATAATTGTTTTATTGCCAGAAAGGGTAAAACCTATTCTTATTTTTTATACTTTGATTCTGGCACAAATGTCCCATGGTATAGCTGCTCACCCAGAGCTATACTTGCTCTGATAGTGCATTGTCTTTGTACTATATTATTGGTTCTTTCGGTAAAGTCTTTGTACTGTTCACCTTTTGGTATTATCTGGTGTGACACTGGCAATCTTGGTCACAAAGAAGGGACCGTCCATAAATGACGTCACACACCTGGGGGGGGGGGTAGACATTTGTGACGATGTGTGACGAGGGGGGGGGGGGTTGAGAAATGTGACGTCACATCAAAATGTGCAACTTTAAAAAAAATAGAGACAACACATTCTACTTAATTAAATAGACTTTTTAATAAATGTTTTCTCCTACAACATCAGAGTGCAGCGCCACATTGAATACGCATTACAATGACAATAGTTTAAAGCGATTTGAAGCATGTTATATATTTTTTTGGGGGGGCAGAGTTTTGTGACGTGATATTTGAGGGGGGGGTCTGACCTTTTGTGACGCCGTGTGACGAGGGCGGGGGGGTCAAAAATCTCGTGACGTCATTTATGGACGGCCCCGAAGACTGTCACTGGTGTAGGCCAATCAGTTTCAAAGACTGCATATATTATCAGAGTATAACGGTGTGTGTGGGTTAGCACTGTCGCGCGTGGGTGAGTCGAGGTGACTGAGGTTACATGAGGTAAGAAGGGGTGGTTTGGGGGAGAAATTTGTGAATTTTAATGAGCGTGACGCATGTTCGGTGTTCATCGGTGAGGGGGGTGGTCGACGTTCGTTGGGTCTGGGGGCTCCCGCGGGGGGGGGGGGGGTGCAGAGGTTGCGGTTGCCGTTGGCCCGGGGGCCCATGTGTTTTTCGCATTGGTTGGGGCGGTCGGCGCTCACCCAGGGAAAGATGGATGATCGATGCTCGCCGCCACAAGGGAAACTCCTGGAGCGTTGTTGAAGACGCCAACCAAGTCCTGATACTATAGTCATGTGGAGTCACTGCATGCGTTGAGTTGTTCAACGTGCGGTTGGAGGCGCCAGCCAAGACCAGAGACTGTAGCCACGTGGAGTCTATAGAGCACTATAGAGATCGCAAACTCTGTGACCAAAACAGCGGACGTGTCAAGTTGTTCATTGTGTTGTTGGTGGCGCCAATCAAGTCCTAATACTGCAACTCCGTTCGTTGAGTTCTTTGGAGCGCTGTTGATGGCGCCAACCAGGTCCCGAGACTGCAACTGCTTTGAAATGCTCAGGGCACTGCTGAAGCCACCAGCCAAGTCTTGAGACTGCCGTTATGTACCCTGGACGTCAGCTGCGTTGTTTCGTCACCCAAGAGTGGATCGTGCGTCGTCGCATTTTTCTGTATGCTTAGTCCCCACGGTGTTATGTAATTGTCAACACGTGGGGGCGCTGTGAAGATATGTTTTCGAGAATTTGTATTAGTTGGTTGTACTCGGTGTTCTGTCTTTGTCGACGAGCGTTGGTGCTGTGTAGATGTTTAGAATTTTTAAGAATTGGTTGTACTTGGTTGAGACATTATTATCCATCACTGTTTGATTCGCATCCTTGGACAAAGTGTCTCAAGGCATAGTTAATACTTTCTAAATCTTGTTAAGATTATCTATATTCCGGATCGAGTTATTTGTACATTTTTATATCGCTGTAAGCCCGCATTGGTGCCCTATATTGATGGAATTGCTTGGCAGAGTAAATGGAGCCGAATTCTTCTCATTCATGCAGTTTGCGCTTCCTGATTTTAGTTCCAAAGCCTTGTGGTTTGGAAATATAATTCCCTATTTGGTCATTCAGATAAAACTAACTGGAAATGGCGTGAAACAACTACGAAATTGACCACAAAATAGCAATCCTTAAACTGTGCAATCAGTGATGCTTACACTCCGCTAGTGTGCTTCATAATATTCGGTGAATCTCCTGCATCGCAATCTCAGATGCTGAACTCTCTGCTCGGCAAGCAAAGGCATGGAGTTTTCTTTCATAGGCACTGCCGAACCAGCAGCACGAATGGTCGACTAATGAAAGGAGTTACAGAGATCGCCTGGTATTCTCCAGCTGGGATGGACAATGATGTATTTATTGACTGCATGGCATTCACTAATCTCCACGGAGATGCAAGAGAACACAACACACAGGTGCAGTATTTACATGAGATATCGCCTATAAATGTGATATTACTGTTAGATTGTGATTGCAATTAAGAAGGCAAACGCATTTTACAAGAATGTGTGTTACCCAAAGCCGTTGGTTTGCCTCTGTGCTGATAAAAAATGGTTTTTCCAGTGGAATATCTGGAACAAAAGTGCAAATTGCTGTTGAAAATCAAAATGAGGCTGAGTTAATTGAATAAATAATGTCAACAATCAAATTCTTTTGAGACAATTCAAATGTTTTTACATCGAAGGTTGCTCAGATATTGCAAGACAGTATGGCTTCATTGTTGATTCAGAGAAAAACAATGTGAAGAGGGCAAATCTATGCCAAAAGTTGTTCTGAGTCTTCTAAGTGATAAGTCACTGTCGTCCTTGAATGATACATTTCTGCCTCTTCAAAGAAAATTGTGGCAGTCGTGGTGCAAGTGTAATGAGTCCACCAGACGAGCATTGAGATGACACACTTCTCTTTATATTCAACACGAGCTCACGCTGCGTGCATCCACTCCACTCCAAATCCAATCAGGAAGCGCCCCAATCGCCCTGCCTGATCCGGTGACGTCACCGCTCCCTTCCTGGGCGTTCCATTACTCTCATGTCCCACCTTATCTTTCCTTCGTGACGTAATCTTTAACAATAACCTGGGACACCTTGGGTATTTCTACCCCCAGATTGCGTAAGTCTTAACCTTTCATCACCCCCCGCCCCTCAGAAAAAAGTCGTCCTCGACTCAACACAACCCGTGAGAATACAAGGGATTTAGGGTAACTGACGGCAGGAGAGTATGGAGGGATGCTTTTTGTTGGTCAATAAACAAGCAATTTTTATTTCAACCGGAGTCTTGTCACTTTGTGTGTATAAGTGTGGAGTGCATGTGAACAGAATAGAATTTAAGACAGTAATACACAAGAAACCATAAAACGAGAAGGTACACACAAGGTTCAACAGGACCTTTCAACCGCAACAAGCGGACAACCGACGACAACCTTCGGCGCGAAGAAACGACAATGTAATTTTCCTATGTGGTCCTGTGGTCTTGCATGCAGTGATTGTTCATCACCGTGGGATCATCACCTGAGCCCGTGCTTGGTTAACTGACTCACTCATCATGCGCTGACTAACATATCGTGCACTGACTCACACATCATACACTCACTCACACTGCCGCTGACTCGCTCACACATCATACACTGACTCACTCATCATACGCTGACTCGCACATCATACGCTGACTCGCACATCATACACTCACTCACGCTGCTGCTGACTCACTCACATACACTGGGAGTGTCGTGCTGCCAGCTATGGCTGCAGTTTTTTGTCGTACGTGTTTTGTATATCGTTTATTGTTAAATTTAATTATCACAGTTCCTATGATTACTGTTGTTACATGTTTTTTATAACTTTATTTTGGTGATTCGAAATCATATGGTTAATCTAAATTGTCTTATGGTTGTTGTTGTTGGCTTGCACCACATTGATTTTGCACACAGCGTTTTAATACGTTTTTTTGCGTGGAATATTTGCTGGTTTATTCCAGGATGTTTCTGTTACGCGTTGTCGCTTTAAGATGTTCTGTGTTCAAATTTTGTTTGTTGCGGTTTCACCCGACTTAAGAGCCATATGGCTCACAGGGCTATACCTAATAAATGAAACCTGCAAACTTGTGTAACTGTGGCTCGGTCAGGTGCTGCTGCACCTCTTTGGTCATGTAAGGTCTTGGGGAATAAAGGCAACCTTCTTGAGGTTGGTTCGTTGTGGCAAATGGCTTCCTTGACCTCGGCAGTGATGATGGTGAGTGAACGGATGAAGGTGTAAGTCTTGATTTGAAGCTTTCGTAACTGCAGGAATCCATACCCTGGTTCTTTCGGTAAAGTCACGTAGATAGAAAAAATAACAAAAGAACACGACGTTTCGGTTGCAACACAAGCGTCCGTCATCAGGTGAGAAATAATGATCTGCTGTTGTGGCTTTATATAGGCACGAGAGGGGGGGGGGAGGTTGTAGAGTCGTGGCTGCAGGAGTTCACAGTGCGGAAACGGAGGAGGGTTTGGGGCATGCAGGAACGGGTGGAGGCTGGATAAATTAGCATGTCAATGAGCTTGAATTAGTAAACAAAAACAGCACGGGTGGGTGAATGAAAATCACAGCAGTTAAAACTTGACATGGTTTATCACGTCCTTCCAAATGCTTGCTGTGTACTCTATTGAACCAAACTTGGATCTTGTGTTTGTTCAAGATTTTGGACATCCTTTTGGTAACCCCTGTACACAAAATCCGTGATTTGATCCCATCTGCGAAAGATGTCATTCCTGACATGCAATACCCTGGTGTCTACAAACTAAGTTGTGTCTGCAGCAGCAGTTACATTGGGGAAACGAAACGACATGTCTTGGACCGTGTTTCTGAACACAAGGCAGATTTTAAACATGGCAGAACCAATACCTCTGCAGTGGCTGATCATTGTTATAACGCAGTGGGCTCGCACGATATTGTTTTTTTCCAAGACCAAGGTACTCTGCAAACCCTCTGGCTACCATCAAAGATTTGTCCATGAAGCCATTCAGATATATAAACACAGAGACAATTTCAACCGAGAAGATGGGAATAAGCTGAGCAATCATTGGAAGGACGTTATTAACCACGCAAAGTCGTAACTTGCTGTGGTGCTTCCATTCTTTCCTGCCATTTGGCTGCTATCTCCAACACTCTGAGTCTCATTGCCCTGTTAGGTGCCTCTGCATTAATGGACTGGGGTCTCACGAACATGGTCACTTCTGCTCCCTTAGCCTCGATGTATCGATGGTTCTGGTTGTGAGATGGGCTTTGTGTCTCACTGGCGCAACCACCGTTGCGGTGGGTCTCTTGCCTCAAAGCCTAATCTCTCCCATCAACATAGTGCTAATCCCCCATTAACACTGCTGTTGTGCGCATATGCGGGGATGATACTCTTATGCGGTGACGGAAGCTCATTTCATGCTCATATTTCTCCCTAATCTCTCTTTCCCTAATCTCCCCCATTAACACAACTGATGTGATTGCATCCAGGGATGGAATTTC